CGACCCCAAGACGTCCCTTGACGTTTGGTATGGGGACGTCACGGCTTCCACGGCAAAACCATCGGAAACCCGAGAAACCCAGGACATCCTGGAGGCAAGCTGGGTGTTTCTTGGCATGGGTTTCGGGCGTCTCGGGAAGGCATCGGGCGTCTCGGAAAGCTCGGGGCGCTTCTTTTTGTTCGTTCCTCGTCTTCGGCCTCTACAGGGGCCCTTCCCGGGTCTCGGGACCGTCAAGGAACAACTCGAGGATGAGAAGCTGGTCCCCGGGAAATGGGCCGATGCCTTCCCAGACACGCGACGTCCTGATGGAAGTCTCGACCCTTTCCCCGGGACAGGTTTTTCATCCTGGGTCGTTTCTTGACGGCTCCGAGGCCCTGCGAGGGCCCCCCGAAGCCGAAAACTACCAAAAACCTCTCGTCCTTTTTTTTTAATATATATATATATATATATATATATATATATATATATATATATTCCGAAGTGACCATCTTGTCCCCAGACATCCGGCCGCTCCGATCTTCTCGATGCGTGGGTCCTGGAGGTCCGGATCACTTCCCTGGGGCCAGTTCCTCGTCCTGAGCCGCGTTCTTACGCTCCCGAATAGGGCCCCAGAAGCCCAAAACCTGCCCAAATCCCGCAGCTCCCATTTTTCTGGAGCGTCGGATCTCTGGGTCTGGGTCGTCGCCGACGAAAATATGGTTGACCCAAAAGGGGGTCCAGCTGAAAGGAGGTTGGTGCAATCGATCTGGGGCAATTGTACTGCAAATGTACTGCGCAGAAGAATTGTGTATTGCGTTGTGCTGCAACTGGTGCGTTGCACGCGAGAATCCAGCAATACATTTGCGCCCAGGAATATGAATGAATATCTGAATATATGAATATATGAATATATGAATATATGAATATATGAATATATGAATATGTGAATATACATATATATATATATATTGATTACACGCCCCAAGTTTAAACGTCGTTCATTTCTAATCGTGCTCATTTCTAAGTGTGCTCGTTTCTGATTGTTCCTGGCCGCCTAGTGGCCCGGAGGAGGCCCAGGACAGAACATTCAGAAATGAGAGGATATCCGGGCCTCCCCCCCATACATCAGAACGCTCGAAGAACTAGAGATGAACCATGCGCGCTGCAACCCACAGAGATCTGCTGCACCACCCCCTTGCAGTCTGCACCCCCTTTGGGGCCAACCCTGCTGGGCCCGGGTCGGGCGTTGGCAGAACTGCGTTTAGCGGGACCTGGTTCAGTGATGCGTACTCCATTCCACGAACCGGAACTGCCGTCACCCGAAAGAACAACAGCTACGGCAAACCTGGTTTAGTGATTCTGGCCAACGTAGGGGCTCCAGGGACCTACCACTAACCGGGTCCTCATACCTGGGGTCCTGGCTATACTTATGTCGGGCGTGTCCCCCTACAGGGTGATTTTCTCCGAAAAATCAAGAATACCCCCAAGATACCCCAAAAAGGTAAACAAAAAAAAATTACCCCAAAAATAGTTCCCAGACTATTTCTTTGACAATTTTTGGGTATGTTAAATTTTTCATCGAAAATCCCCCTGTAGGGGGACAAGCCCGACCTAATGCTGGGCCCGGGAGCCCCGCGCCCGGCCGCCCCGCCCGCGGGGCCGCGCCTGCCGGGGCAGCGGCGCGGGCGCGGGGCCGAGCCCCGTGGGCTCGCAGCGGCGCGCCGCGGCGGGCGGCCCGGCCTCGCCTGGGCCACGCCGCCGCCGCGGTCGCCGGCGTCGTGGGCGTCGCCGGCGTAGGCGTCTGCGTCGTCCCCACAACGTCCCCTCGCGGTGTGCAACAATCGCGACGGGAGGTTTTTGCGCTATTGTCGGCCTCTGGGGGCCCTTACCGAGCCTCCGGACCGTCAGAAAACAACTCAGGATGAAAAACCGGTCCCGGGGAATGGGTCCGGACCTCTGGGGGTCGCGGCATGAAAAAATCATGACGTCGGGGGTCTGGGTCCCCAGAGATCCGACGCTTCAAAACAAAAATGGAGCGGCGGGATTTTGGCAGTTTTGAACCTCCAGGGGTCCTCGCCGGGCCTCGGGGGCGTGACATAAACGACTCGGGACGAAGAACCGGCCCCCAGGAAGTGATCTGGACCTCTGGGGCCCACGCATGTCGGATGTCTGGGTCGACGCCGTCGTCGATCTTCGTCGGGGGGGGAGGGGCCCTGACGTGCTCGCACCATGAAAAGGGGTCGGGACGGAAACTTGTACTCGCCTTGTGCCTCAGGGGCCCTCGCCAGGCCTTGGGACCGTCAAGCACCGATTGGGGATGAAGGACTGGCCCCAGGAGAAGGGTCGGGACTCCCGGGGACCCCAGATGGAAATTACGCTACCGAGGAACCCCACATACACCCTGCGAAATGCTTTAGAAATCATGGGTTAAGAAATTCATAGTCTCAGAATTTGAATAAAAACCCAGAATGTCTATTCAAATCTTAGGATTTACATTGAAACATTAAGAATAATCGAGACTCTGGCCGAAGACTTGGGTTTTCTTAAGCATCGCCTAGAGTGTACTTATATTATGGCTGGAGTGATGATAGCTGACATGAAACATGTGAGAATGATGCTGGTGGCCGCACCCCGCCGATACCGCAAGGACGACCGTCACGGATAGCGGCCGCGCTCAGGGACCACCCCGTGCGCATACCTTGTGGCGTCGAGAAAACGCCACGCCTGCTGGACGACCGTCACGGATAGCGGCCGCGCTCAGAGACCACCTCGTGCGCACCCCCTGTGGAGTCGAGCAAACGCCACGCCTGCCGTGCCCTGGACGACCGTCACGGAGAGCGGCCACCGCGTGCGCACCGCCTGTGGTGTCGAGAATCTGCCACGCCTGCTAGGGCAAGGACGACCGTCACGGACAGCGGCCGCGCTCAGGGACCACCCCGTGCGCCCCCCCCGCGGTGTCGAGAAAACGCCACGCCTGCTGTGTCCTGGACGACCGTCGTGCTGTGCTGTGCGGTGCTGTGCTGTGCTGAGCAGTGCTGTGCTGAGGTGCTATGCTTTGCTGTGCAGTGCTGTTCTGAGCTGTGCTGTGCTGAGCGGCGTGTGCCTCATGCGTGTGCCCAGTATGTACGCATACGTCGTGTGTACGTCGTGTGTGTGTGTGTTGTGTGTGTTGTGTGTGTGTGTGTGTTGTGTGTGTCTGTGTGTGCGTGAGGAGAAGGAGAAGGAGAAGGAGGCGGGTGAGGAAGACGCGGGTGCGACGCGGCAGAGAAGAAAACCAGAACCCCACGAAACATGTGGGGACAAATCAGGATAGCGCATGCCTGCGGAGGGAGGGACGGGGAGGGAGGGTTTTGGATTGCTCTGCATTGTTTTGCTCACCTGGAAAGCGACTTAGGAAGCACACACCTGCGGAGAAGCGCCACCACCCCGCACTCGGAGCCGAAGGGGATAAGGAGGGATGGAGGAGGAAGGGATGCAGGGATGCAGGAAGGAGGGGGGGAGGGGTGATCGCTGCCGCCTGGGGGACGGAGGGAGGAGGGGGGAGGGAAGGATGAAGGAGGGGAGGGAGGGACAGGGGGAGGGAGGATGTGAGGATTGGGACCCAGGCCCCCGACGTCATGTTTTCTCATAACATCCGCCCCCATGCAAAGGTCTTCTCGACCCACTGCCCGGGACCAATTTTTATCCTGAGTCGTGTATGCGATCCCGAGGCCTGGGTAGGGCCACCGGAGGTCGGAACCGGAGAAAAACCGTCCGTCGTGATCTTGCCATGGCTCGAGGGAGGATGGGGAGGCAGACGACGAGGAATGGCTCAGAAGACTCCTCCCTCCCCAACTTATTTGCCCCGAGCCAGCGCGCAGCGCGATAACACAGACGTGTTGAAAACGACCTTCGCTTGCTGTGTGTCCCACCCCATGCTGACTACCTGCCAGACCACCCCAACCCAACCCGAAGACCCGAATTTGACCCGAAGTTCGGGTTGGGGCGGGTACGGGTTCCGTGTGATTTTTCCGTGTTCCCCTCCCCCCCCCCTGGAAATCGAGGATAAATCTGGGCCTTCGGGTTGGGTTGGGGTGGTTTGGTGGGTGGTGACATGCTCTGACCTGGCGGCGCGCACAAGGGGGTAGGGGGAAGGGGGGGGGCGTCTTGGAAGGAGGCTGCTTCTCAGGAGGTGCGGGCCTGATCTGTATAGATGTAGGCAGCCTCTCTGAGAAGCAGCCTATCCTTCTGAGAAGCCTTCCCCCCTCCCCCCTACCCCCCTCAGTGCGTGGCTGACTGACCGCCCAGACACGCGACGCCCCGATGATTTTTTTCCCCACGGGGCCCCTGCAAGTTCCCACCCTCTCCCGCGGGACCCGTTTTCTCGCCTGGGCCGCTCCTTGACGGCCCCGAGGCCCGGGGGAGGGCCCCCCCGAAGCCGAAAACGCCCTTAAAACCTCCCGTCCTGATGTTGGTACGACGCGGCCATCACGTCCCCAGACATCCGGCCGCTCCAAGTATTGCGACTGGTGGGCCAGAGGTCCGCACCACTTCCCCGGGGCCGGCTTCTCGTGCCGAGCCGTTTTCTGACGCTCCCGAGGCCCGGCGAGGGCCCCCGGGAAGCCGAAAACTGCCCAAACGCCCCGCGGCTCCAAGTTTTCGCCACGACGCGACCGCGCCGGGGCGCGTCTTGGCCCCAAGCCTGAAGTCGGGCCTGTCCTCCTACCAGGGGGCTTTGGGCGAAAAGGTCAAAATACGGAGAAAGAAAATCCAAAAATACAGAAACAAAAATCAAAAAATAATACCCTGGCTACTTTTTGACTACTCTTGAATATCCCCCCTGTAGCCAGGCCCCGGACGTCATGATTTTTTCATGACGCGACCCCCAGAGGTCCCGACCCATTCCCCGGGACCGGCTCTTCATCCCGAGTCGCTTTTTGACGGTCCCGAGGCCCGGCGAGGGCCCCTGGAGGCCGAAAATCGCGAAAAACCTCCCGTCGTGATTTTTTCATGACCCGAGGGGGTCTGGGTAGAGGGACGGGCCCGACCTCACGCCCCAAAGCCGCCGCGGACAAGAGGGCGCGCGGCGCCCCGAGGCTCGCCGAGAGCTCTCCCCCCGCCCGGGGGCCTCCGACCCCCCCCCCCCGCGGCCGGGGCCCCGCCGCCGCGGCCGCGCCACGCCGCGCGCGCGGCATGCCGCCCCTCTTCTTGTCGTCGTCTCCTCGCCGGCCTCTGCGGGGGGCCCCGCCGCGGAGCACGGCGCGGCGCCGCCCCGCGGGGAGGAGGCGAGGAGGGGGGGGGGAAGAGGAAGCCACGCCACGGACACCAACTCTTGGCGCTCCGCGCGGATTTTTGCCGGAAGCATAAAAAAATCGGAGTTCCGCGCGGATGTCTCGGATCTGCGCTGAGGACCCCCCCCCCCCCCTTGGCGCGCGGAGCGCGCCAGGGGCGGCGCCGGAGGCGCCGCCCGGGGGGGCCCGGCGCGGATCCAAGAAATCCGCGCGGAGCGTCAACAGTTTATGTTGAGGGCGTTTGTTCTTCTTCGAGGGAAGGGGGAAAAACAGAGGTGCCGTCGGACCTGGGGCAGAACAGCATCTTCCGAGAACCCGAGGCCCTTCTGGCGGCCAAAACGCACACAACATCCAGCGGCACCCTCCCCAGGGTGCCTAAGGTCATCGAACAAACGCGAGAAACATCAGGGCACCCTCCACGAACCGATCTCGATCTCATACCTCGGTCCGACTGTATACAGAGAGAGAGAGAGACAGAGAACGAGAGAGCAAGAGAGAAGCAAAACAAATACGACAACACAAGCAATCGGAAAACAGCAAGACGGCAGGAGGACAGGTTGGGGTCGGGGAGGAGGATGGGAGAAGGATGCATTCGCTGGAATTCGCTGGTAACCACAATGTGGTATGGGGGGCGGATGCGACAGGGGAGAGGGAGGGGAGGGGAGACGGCCGACTGGCCAGCTCACCACGCGAGCCCCTCGGCAATGCGGTCCCTGGCGACGCACATGTCCTCGCACATGTTGGTCACGCTCCAGGGATCTTCCTGGGACGAGGAGGCGGAAAGGAAGCGCGGATGAGGACCCAGACGTGCTCGCGTCGTTCGAAATCACTACGTTTTTTTGTCCCGGGGTGCCTGACTGGGCCCCAAGGCCTTCAAAAGCCGACTCGGGATGATAACTAGCCCCGGGGAAAGGATCGGGACATCCGGAGACCCCGCATTGAACAGGTCAAGGCATCACATACCTGGGGGAGAAAGGAGGCTGCTCGCTCTCTCTCTCTCTCTGGTTTGTCTCTCTCTCGCATTTCGCCATCGCTCGGACGTCCATTCCCCGTGCATGTGTCGACATCGTGCGTTTGCTTGTTCGTAAGATGATCTAACGGGTTCCTCGTCGCCAAGCAAAAATCCACGTCTGAGCGATGCCACATGATTTTTTGTTTGTTCTCTCTCTCTCTGTCTCTGTCTCTCCACTTCCTTCTCTGTCCCTGCTCCTCCCTCAGCCGTCCCCTCCTTGTTCTCCCCCTCCCTCCTCCCTCCCCTTTCGCCCCTCGTCCTGCCCCCTTCTCCTCCTTCACCTCCTCCTGCTCCTCAGGGAACCTCCTGACCGCCGATGAACGTCAAACGATCCGAACGAACCCGAGAACCTCGCTCCTCCTCCGGTGGGGGCCTCCACAAGTCCTTGGAGGCCTCCGCGGAGGGCTTGGGAAGCCTCAGTGGCAACTCTCCCCCGACATGGGCGCGGGGGCATGCGACCGCTGCCCCTGGAAACATCGGTGGAGCCCCCCATGGGGCCACGAAAGGTGTGACGGACGTGCCCGAAGTGAAAGCGGGCACGCGTGGGGGCTTTGCCATTGGGGCCTTTAATGTGCCTCTCATGAGGCCACGAAGCGTGTGAGGGGTGCCCACACGGGCGCGAGCACGCGTGCGGGCGCTGCTACTGGGGACATTCGGCGGAGCTCCCCGGGCGGTCACGAAGCGTGCGAGGGGCGTGCGGACATGGGCGCGGTCACGCGTGCGGCTTGTGGGCCCACGAGACGTCCGATGGGCGTGCCGAAGTGGGTGCGGTCACGCATGCGGGCTCTGCCACTCGGGCTGTCGGTGGAGCTCCCAGTGGGGCCCGCTCCCAGGACAGCGGGCCCTCGTGAATTACGCCGCGTCCGCGCTCCCAGGACCACCATCCCTCGTAAGACACTCTGCGTCCGCACTCCGAAGGCGACCCGCGCTTCCAGGTCCACGTCCCGCGCAAATTCTACCAGCCCTCTGGGCTTCATTTTTCGTACACGAGGGATCCAAGAGGGCCCCCGATACTCCAAGATGGCCTCCACGATGGATTAACATGTCCAACGATGGTTCAAGATAGCTTCCGACACACCCCCAAGAGGCCCCAAGAGAGCTACAAGACGGCTCCAAGTGCTCTCCGAAGAGGCCCGAATCCTTCGAACACCTGAAGAACATCAATGGTGATTGCCTTCTCGCCTTGTCGCTTCCGATGGGCTTTGGAGGCCTCAAGATGGCCCCAAGATGGCCCAAGAGAGCCCCAAGTGGCCCCCAAGACGGCCCCAAATCTGCCCAAGGGCACCCCCAGGAGGCGATTGCGAGGGCTCTCGAGGACCCGAAGTAAGGAACCTCCTTCTTCTGACGGGCGCCCTCCAAGATGGCCCCAAGAGGCCTCCGGAGGCCCTCGAGAAAGCCCCAGGGGGGCCCCCCGGACACCCCAGAAGAGCTCGCAGAGGAGCCCAAGCCTTCCCCAAAAAGATGCCAAGAGGGCGCCAACAGAGGGCCTGATCGGCCTGCTCACTACTTACGCAGGATCCTCGCTTCCACGGCATCCAACACAACGAAGTAGACACAAATCCCAGGATTTCCCATATGTTCCAATATCTTCGGGGTTCTCGTCTCCCACCCCACTTCCTATATGTTCCTGTATTTCCCTGGGGGTCGACGATGAATTCTGTCTGTGTGTTTTTCTCCCTCCTCTGATCTAGGGGCGCCGAGGGGCTTCCTGGGCCTTTTGTGAAGGGGAACTGGAACACACAAATAAATACACACAAATAAAGATATCCCCCATATTTTCCCATATTTTCTAGGTTTTTGTCTTCCCCACCACTTCCCATATTTTTGCATATTTTCCTGGGAGTCGACGATTAATTGTGTCTGTGTGTTTCTTTCCCTCCTGATTTTGAGGCCTCCGCACCCTGTTGCTTGTGGAGGACTCCAAACGCGCGGGCGCGCCAGCCTCGAGCGGGCCCGCGGAGAATCCTATGCAGGCGCGTTCTGTGGCATGTCCTGCTCGTTTCGGCACACCCCGTGACGAGGACACTGCGCACAACACTCCGCATGTTGCTTCACATTTGGGCGTGGCTTAATGGGGGGGTCACAAATGGGGGGGTCAGAAACGGTCCCCTTTCGTGCCCCTTTCGGGCCCCCCTGGAGCCCCAGGGGGCTCGTTTAGGTACCGTTTGGGTACCTTTTCGGACCACCCTCGCCACCCCCCCATTTATGACCCCCCCATTACGCAGCGCCCAGCACATGGGGAAGCAAGCGTCTGCCGGGAGACGCGCTTTCCTGGAGCGGGCACGCGGGAAACGCATTTGTTCTTTGCGCTGCGACATGACTTTGTCGTGCTGTCTCTGTCTTCTGGCGAAGAACTCCGCTGGCCCTTCCCAGGCACGGCGCCGGAGGCCAAACTGACGCATCCAGAACCAACCCTGTGCTCTTGCCCTGACCGGGACCGGGAAAATGCAGCCCCATCGCCTCAGCGCCGCGCGCACTCCTCTTCAGGACTCCCGACAGCAGCACAGATGGAGGCAGATTGGGCTTCAAACTATATAGCTCTCGTGCCAAGACCGCGCACACTTTGCCCTAAGAACTTCTGACAGTTATGCGCCGCGAGCCGTCGTCTGAAAAGCTTGGCGCAGTCACATGAAAAGTGTTGCTCTTGCTCGAGGCCTCCGGAGGTTTTACAACCAGACGCTCCACCACGTGCAACTTTTCAACGGGCTGCAAGGTGCACCTTTCCCAAACCGGGCTAGCGCTGCATCATTCCCTGAACTGTCTTACCATGCCTTGCTGAACCTGCGACACCTGGATGGATGGAGGGTATATCGTTTTCAAAACAGGGCTCTCATTGATGCCAGCTCCATGGGGCGCTCGTCACTCAGGGGTGCACTTCCACTAATGAGAAAGAAAGTCGGAAGATGTTGACGATCGGGCCGGGCGAAAGGGGGGGATAGCAAAGGGGGGGGGTGAGAATCAGCTTACGTAGCCGATTTTCCCAGCGCCTCCAGGCGCCGCAGGCGCCCATGCATCTAGGAATGGGCCCCTCGGCGGGGCCGAAACCAGCTGCACGCAGCAAATGTCGTAAACCCCCTTTCCCTATCCCCCCCTTTCGTCCGGCCCGAGGAGGAGGAGGAGGAGGAGGAGGAGGAGGAGGAGGAGGAGGAGGAGGAGGAGGAGGAGGAGGAGGAGGAGCAGGAGCAGGAGGAGGAGCAGGAGCAGGAGCAGGTGCATGGGAGGGGGCGAGGGGCAGGGGAGGTCCCGAGGAGGAGCGGCACACACCGGCAACAGGGAGCAGGAGGCTGAGCAGCAGCAGCAGCGGCCGCGGGAGAGACACCGAGAGCAGGCCGGCGAGGAGGAGCAATGCGAGGAAGGGAGCGAGACGACCCGCGTGGTGCGCACATGCGCGTGCATGCATTTATGTCCCTGGCCGCCGGCTTCGCGAGCTTCCCGGCCTCCACTCGGGACACGAGCTCCCGTAGCCCCTCCACGACGGCCATGTCGAAGCTGTGGTACTCACCCAATCTGTCGCCCGCGAGCTTGTTCGGCTCTCCCCGAGAGATGAGCCTGGAGTGGCGCTCGATGTTCAGGTTTTCCCTCTTGTTGCGGCAGTGCGCCCAGCGCATGCTGAAGGGGTGGATGGCGAAGGCGCCCTTGCAGTACATGCGCTGACCACCGACCCAATTGTGGTGACGCATGCCCTGAGAAGGAAAAACGGTAGCGAGAATACGGAGAATAAGGGGGACGATGGAGGGGAGGAGGGGAGGGAGCCTCGGTCATGAGGTGCTCGAAGTTCACAAGGAACTCATCATGCGGGATCTTCAGAGGCAACGCCTCCGCCAGGCGATGCCGGTGGATTATGAGGTAGCGCTGGCTGACCATTCCGTGCTTCTTCGATGAGCAGGTGCCCGAGTCACTCGGGTCCATGGCGCTGCACATCGTCGGGGGGTTGAGCATTATCACTGGCTGCTTGGCCCAGAAGAGCTTCCGGGCCATCTCGATCATCCCCTCGTCCTCTCTGTACACAATGATGTCTGGATCGAGGAAGACACAGAGGTCCACAGCAGCATCTGCGTTCAAACAATGGTCCAAGAAATTGAACATGCCCATAGAGTTCGATGACATGTGCTGCCCGCTTATGTCTGACTTGTCCTGCGCACCCTCGAGGGTTTTCACAGAGTCGGTGCGATCACCAGTATCAATGAACTTCTGGAGGTATTTTGGGTCGTCGTATACGCTGTAATCGACTCTGCGCACACTTGAAGTACCATTGCTTTCCATGCTTCGCAGGATCTCCTCCTGTCGGTTCACCGGCTCCATCCAGGGCGGCCGGTTGTCAACAATGACGTGCTGAACCATTTCGGGATGCTTGGTGGCCATGCGCAGCTGGTGGGCCACAGTGATGTCCAGGGGCAAGTTGTCCTCGGGAAATGTCATCGTGGCCATGAGCACCTTTCCTGAATGGGAGCTGCGAACACCTCCGCTGCGCCAGAGGATTCATTTTAGTCCCGGGGGCTCCGAGGGGAGGGGACGGGAGGAACGGGGATCGGGGAGGAAAGGGTCGCCTGGTCCTCCTCCTCTGGGCCACCCCAGAAATACAAACGGACCCGCTCTCGAACAAAACCACCAATAAAGAGACCTCAGATCCCCCAACACCTGAACAGTTGTTTCCCCTCCTCCTCCTCCTCCTCCTCCTCCTCCTCTTCCTCCTCGCCGTTGTTGTCGTCTTCCAGAGGGGTGTGGCCGATAGGGAGGGAACTGGCCCAGAGGCAGAAACATCGCTCTTGAATCGGCAATACATCGCCTGCCCACCTGCGATACGCGCACGATAGCGAAACCTCACGTTCCTGGGAGGGGCGTGGGGGCTATCAGGCCTCGATCGGCGACGCATGGGCCATTTGGGGGGTCGGTGCACTCCCCCCCTGAGGCCCCCCCCCCCTGTCGTTGCCCCTGACCTCCTCCTCCTCCTCCTCCTCCTCCTCCTCCTCCTCCTCCTCGCCGCCGCCTTCCTCCTCACCCCTTCGGACCACAGCCGCGCGGCCTTCTCCTCCTCCTCCTCCTCCTCCTCCTCCTCCTCCTCCTCTGCCTCCTCCTCCTCCTCCTCCTCCTCGCCGCGGTGGAAGCCCTTGGGACTGATGAGCCTAGGCGGAGAGGAGATCACAGGATGGCCATCGGCAGGGGGCGAGGACGGAGTAGAGCAGCAGCGCCCGCCACCGGCCGCGGCCGCCCGCGCCCGAGCGACAGGTGCTGGGCTCGCCCCACGGCTCTCTTCCACCTGCGACCGCGCCCGCCGCCACTCGAGAGCGACGAGTACAAGGGCTCGCCCGTGGGTCCTCCCTCCCACCTCCGACCGCCGCTGCCGCCACTGGAGAGCGGCAAGTACAAGGCTCGCCTGCGGCTCCTCAATCCCACCTCCGACTGCCGCTGCCGCCACCACCCGAGAGCGACTAGTACAAGGCTTGCCCCGCAAGGCCGTCCTCCCACCATCCGGCAGCGGTCTCGACCGATGAAAATATCGACGGAACGAGAGGTACGGTATGCGACTACCCACCATCACGACTCACAGGAGTAGTAGCAGTACTGCGTAGTGGAAGAGAAATCAAGCAGCGGTTTTCCATTACAACGACTGCTCGATTTGCTACCCGTCACACGGGTCTCGGGAGGGTGTGTACGCCGCGCGGGCCTGCGTGCAAGTTGCACGCCATCCCCCCCCCCGCCCCTCCCCCTCTCGCTCCCGCCCCCCTTCGACCGCCTCCTTCTGCCGCTGGGCTCCTTCGCTAAGCAAGCAGCCTACGCCGCGTGTGCCTGCTGCCATTTCCACCGGAGCGTCCCTCCGCCGACGCCTCGGCGAACCAGCCAGGAAGGCCCCTGCCTCTCCGCGCAGGACGGCAGTCCCTCGCTTCAGGGCGGAGGGCTCTGCATCCACACGGTTTCCGCAGGGTGGTCACGGTGCTCTGCCCAGCTGCAGGGGCAGTGACCTCCAAGCGCTCTCGCCTTGCCTCCCTCCTCGTGTCCTCCTCCTCCTCCTCCTCCTCCTCCTCCTGTCCTCCTCCTCCTCTTCCTCCCCTACTCCTCCTCGTCCTGGTGTTCGTCGTCCTCCTCCTCCTCCTCCTCCTCCTCCTCCTCCTCCTCCACATCCTCGCCGCCGTCTCCCTCCTCCTCCTCCTCCTCCTTCTCCTCCTCCTCAGCCTCTTTGGACCACAGCGGCCGCGGCCTCCTCCTCCCCAACCCCTTTCCCCTGCAAACAACTCCTCCCTGTCGCACCCCGAGACGTGTTGGTGAGATGGGAAAAGCGTTTCGCCTGGCATCCCTCACCACCAACGATGCTTAGCCTTACCATGTGCAACAGCATCATGGATTAAGGGCGGGCCGTTTTCATGATGTGGCTCTCGCCTTCACGCCGCGCACATTCGTCTTAAACATTTGGGAGAGCTTCACGAATGGAGGGCAGGCAATCTTCAACATGTGGCTCTCGCCTTAGCGCCGCGCACATTCGGTTTGAAAGTGTGCAAGAACTTCACGGTTTGAGGGCGGGCCGTTTTCAACATGTGGCTTAGCGCCGTGCACAGTCGTCTTGAAAATCTGGAATGAGCTTCACGGTTGGAGGGCGGCTCCTTTTCAGATTGTAGCGCTCGCCTTGGCACCGCGCACATTCGTTTCAAGAGTGAACAGCAGCTTCAAATATTCTTATGGCTGGCGTCCCAGAAGCGGTGTTTGGACGCGATGTAGGACTGTCAGGGTGCAACAGTAAGTGATTGGCGGTGTTAATAGGAATAATGTTCTGGCACATTTCAAGGCCATCAAAACGCAACAGAAACTTTGATTCGCGGCGTCGAAATCCCAGGAATGGTGTTTTGGAGCGGCTCAGAATTTTTCAGACGGTTGCCTTCCAACGGGGCACTTCCCTCAGTGAACAAAACTTGCATGGACCTACGAAGATGGACTTTGGAGGGCGGGAATGTTGTAAAATCGTTCATGGGCCTTGGGCCTTGGGTTTACAGTGGTCCTCATCCTCGTCCTCCTCATCCTCGTCCTCCTCGTTCTGCTGGTCCTCTTCCTCCTCCTCCTCCTCCTCCTCCTCCTCCTCCTCCTCCTCATCATCATCATCATCATCATCATCATCATCACCACCACTTCCACCACCACCACCACCACCACCACCACCACCATCATCATCATCATCATCATCAGCATCATCATCATCATCATCATCATCATCATCATCATCATCATCATCATCATCATCATCATCATCATCATCATCATCATCATCATCTCTTCCTCATCTCCCTCCACCCTCCTCCCTCCTCCTCCTCCTCCTCCTCCTCCTCCTCCCCTCCTCCTCCCTCCTCCTCCCTCCTCCTCCTCCTCCTCCTCCTCCTCCTCCTCCCCCTCCCTCCTCCTCCTCCTCCTCCTCCTCCTCCTCCCTCCCTCCTCCTCCTCCTCCTCCTCCTCCTCCTCCCTCCTTCCTCCTCCCCCTCCTCCTCCCCGTCCTCCTCCTCCTCCTCCTCCTCCTCCTCCTCCTCCTCCTCCTCCTCCTCCTCCTCCCTCCTCCTCCTCCATCCTCTCCCTCCTCTCCTCCTCCCCTCCTCCTCCTCCTCCTCCTCCCCCTCCTTTCTCCTCCTCCTCCTCCTCCTCCTCCTCTCCTTCTCCTCCTCCTCCTCCTCCTCCCGCTCCTCAACCTTCTTGCCTCCGTCGCCCTCCTCCACAGCCCCGTTCTTGGACCACCGCCGCCCCCGAGCCTCCGAGCCCCGCGGCGCCGCCCTGGCCCGGGCGCTCCAGGAACGAGACGCCGCCGGCCCGCAGCGCCAGCGCCAGGAAGGGCAGCGCCAGCCGCCGCAGCGGAGCGCCAGCCTCGTCCTCCCGCGTCCTCCTCCTCCTGCTCCTCCTGATCATTTTCCTCTTCTCGTGGCCCCTCCTTTCCTTCTCCCTCCTCTCGTCCCCCCTCCCTCCTCCTGCTCCTCCCCGCCACTCCTCTCTTGCTTCCTTCTTTCCTTCCTCGCCTCTTCCTCCTCCTCCTCCTCCTCCTCCTCCTCCTCCTCCTCCTCCTCCTCCTCATTCCACCTCCACCTCCTCCTCCGCCTCTCCTCGTCCTCCTTCCCTCCTTGTTCTCCCATCGTTCTCCTCGTTTCCCACCTCTCTACTCCCCTTCTTGTCCAGAGCCATATTCCGTCCTCTTCCATCCTCACTTTGGGTGAATCGTTTTCGTGCACGCTCGTCTGCCGAGCCGGCGTTCAAGGATGACCTCTCTTGTCCCTCCTCCTACCCATTCATTATTCTCCACCTACTTCGTCCCATTCGTCCTCCGAACCTTCGAACTTCCTCCTTCCTCCCTCCTCGTCGTCGACCTCTCCTCCTTCGCCACCTCTCCTCCCTCCCCTCCCCTCCTGCCCTGCCTCTCCCTCAGCAATTGCCCCTCCCATTCCTTCCTGACATCCTCTACCTCGTCCTTCTCCTCCTTTTCCTCATCCTCCTCCGCCACGATTCCGAATGCTTCCTCGACGTTGTCCCGCCCATCCTTTCCCCTCCCCCGCCTTCCCCTGGTTCTCACGCTCCTTCTGCTCCTGCTGCTGCAGTTCGCTTCGTCTTCCCCCCTTCCGCATCCACCCTCTGTTCCTCCTGCTCATCAGCCAACTCCTCCTCCTCCTCCTCCTCCTCCTCCTCCGATGCACACAACTTCGATTTCCTGATTGCGCATAGCACGATAAGGGGTCCCGTGGCCCATCGGCGGACAGAGACAAACATCAGCGCAGAGGGAAAGCATGGGCGGGAGGGGTGGGATGTCAGATATGGCGCGAGCGCGCCTAGCTTGTCCTTGCCCGCACTCCCTCCTTCTCCTCCTCCTCGCTCCTCCTCGCTTCTCCTCGCTCCTCGTCGCTCCTCCTCCTCCCCCTCCTCCTCCTCCTCCGCCTCCTCCCTCCTCCGCCTCCTCCTCCTCCGCCTCCTCCTCCTCCTCCTCCTCCTCGCTCCTCCTCGCTCTACCTTCTCCTCCTCCTTCTCCTCCTCTTCCTCCTCCTCCTCCTCCTCGCTCCTCCTCGCTCGCTGCTCCCCTTCCTCCTCCCAGGGGCCATCGGCGCAAGCAAGAGGTTCAGTAGGCAGCTGCGGGACCGTGCGTGATGGAGTGCGTCATCTGTGGAGCCAAGGTGGACTCGGGCCAGCACGGCCGCGGCCAGCCGAGGGGCGGATGGCGAGGCGGGGGCAGCGCATGGTCCCACGAACGCGGGCATCGGGTCGTCGACGCCTCGGGGGCGGCGCCGGGGAGCAGCAGCGGAGGGGGGGGAACTGGGAGGAGGAGGAGGAGGAGGAGGAGGAGGAGGAGGAGGAGGAGGAGGAGGAGGAGGCGGAGGCGGAGGAGGAGGAGGAGGAGGAGGAGGAGGAGGAGGCTCTTTCGCGCAACACATCACGGGCGAAGGTCACCGGGCGAACCGGCAGCACGGGCCAGGCCGACCCGCAGCAAGCAAGCTCCTGCCGTGAGCCGTGGCCCGGACAAGAATAAAGGGAAACTAGGACACACAAATAAATACACACAAATAAAACTAGTCCCCATATTTTCCCATATTTTCTGGGTTTTTGTCTTCCCCCCCAACTGCCCATATTTTCCCATATTTTCTGGGGAATCGAGGATTAATTGTGTCTGTGTGTTTCTTCCCCTCCTGAAAGAAGTCGACAAGGCAGTTGAGGGGTGGGGCTGGGGGGGAGGTCAGTGAGCCCAAGGAGGCGTCCGCCGACCACCACGCCGACCGATCCCGGCCTGGCCCGATCTTTGGTCCAGGATGAGGTCGGGCATGTCCCCCTACAGGCGGATATCAGACGAACAATTGGAAAATCTAGCAATAATCGTGTCACAAAGGTCAAATCGAATATTCCTCCTGTAGAGGGACATGCCCGACTTACGTCCAGGAGCGGTGCACGTGCCATCCTGGGCCAGGCCAGGAGGGCGTCTACCACACCCCGATCCTCGGCCCACGATGTGTGTGCGGCCAGGAGCGGCGAGAGGTGGCCCGGCGACGTCTCCCGAATAGGTGGGCGGAGACGGAGGGCAGGAGGAAAGAACCAAAGACCGAAGATATGTGGGCTCTCGCCCGTTTCCCCATGCGCGCACGGCGAACTCTGAGAATGTCAGCCCACGAGGCCCCGAAAAGGCCTCCAAGAGGCCCCCAAGAAGCCCCGAAAGAGCTCCAAGAAGCTCCCAAAAGGCGCACAAGAGGCCCTCAGGAGCAACACACAGACACACATATACACATACACACAACAACCGCCAGTTCCCCAAGGGGTCGGCGGTGTGGCGTAAGCCCAAGGATCACAGACCGAAGATCGAGGCATCCTGACGTGGGGGGTGCCCTTCTGGAGGCCTCCGGAGGCCTCCCTCCAGAGGCCTTCTGGAGCCCCACTGCGAGCTCTGGAGGCAGCTGTCTTCGGAGTAGGGGATGGGAAGGAGTGGTGGGAAGATGGCGGAGGGAGCTCGCCCGCGATACCAGTCCCACCTCTTGCGCGTGCATTGAGGCACTGCTACCACACCCTGATGTGCTTGGCTCGGCAGAGCCCTGCGCGATGCGGCTGTGGGAGAAGGGAGGGGGGGGAGGGGGGAGCTGAGGCAAGGAAGGGGAAGGGAGGGGGGAGGAGGGAGGGGTGGGGGGCAGAAAGGGGGGGGTGGGGCAGGAGGTGACGATCAGCGCGAGAAGGCAGGAGGAGGCTGCGGCAGATCCCGGCTTGACGGCCTCGGCTCCGGCTCCTGCCACAGTGCGGACCCCGCTCGATCTCCCGCAGGCCGCGCCCTCGCAGTGCCCCCAGAGGCCTCCTCGCGCCGATCTCCGTGTGGACTTCACGCGCAGGGGTCCTCCCCCCTCGGGGGCCCCCAGACGGTGCGGTGACCGCACCGCGTGGAGAGCCAGTGGGGACTCAGAGTGGCCGCGCGGCTTCGGGACCAGGGCTGCCCTCCGCGGACGCCTCGGGCGACGGACCGCGCGGCGACGGACGGTGCGGTGGCGGACGGTGCAGTGGCCCCCAGACGGTGCGGCTCTCTCCGACAGCACCGTGCGGTGACGGACCGCGCGGGGAGGGGCCCTCGCCGGGGGCTCCCCGAGGCCGCCGAGAGGTCTGCCACCGCGCCGCTGTGGCACCCCCGACCTCCCTGGGCCCTGGGGCCCCGCAGCGAGGGCCCGGGAGCGAGGGCCCGCGGCGGCGGGTGCGTGTCGTGCCGACACCGGCGCCGGCGCCTGGCACCGCGGGGATCCTTCAACCTGGAACGACGATGGTAGGGGGCAAACAAACCTACCTCGCTTTTGACCACCCTCGCTTCCAAGAGATACCAAGCGATGCCAAACTACGGCCTGTACTGGTCAGGCCGCTTGACGAGGAGGCGCGTGGTATGACTTGGTTTTGCCTGGAAGCGAAAGCGGGGTAGGTAATTCACGCTCTGAACCTTGAACGACGATGGGCCGTTTCCGAAACGTCGGATCGCCCAAGAACGGTCCGTTCTGGCTCGCCGGCGGCGGGCTCGCCGCTGCGCCGACACGACGCGCGGAATGGCGGTACCAGACGTGTGCGACTTCCTGATTTGTTGGTTTGATGCGCGGTCCCCGGAAGTCCCCACCCCCTTCCCCGGGACTGGCTTTTTATCCCGAGTTCGGGGATGGACAGACCTCCCTTTAGCAAAATGCGGTTTGGTGAAAACGACCTGAGGCCCAAACCTGGCGGGCGCAAGCCTGGAAAATAACGGCCGCGGCGCCCCCTCGAGAACCGAAAGCGGACTATTCACTGATCGACGCGTCACTGTTGGGGGGTCTGTCCACCCCCGACGAGTCCTTTTTTTGACAGTCCCCGGGTCTGGTGAAGGCCCCTGGAGGCCGACAAGATGGCCAGACGCCTCCCGGCCCTGATCCTTGGCTGCTGGAATTTTCCAGTCGCGACCGACGAGATCGGTCGCTACAGTCAAGGCGTTGACCTAAGGAACCCTAAATAAGGAACGAGGCCCCTATTTTCCATAAGTTGAACTTCGACTTCGTATCGAAAACCTAAGGAAAACCTGAGACAAGCTGCGAAACACTTAAGGAACGCGGAGCCCGTCCCCAACGAAAAGGGTTCCTTCTTCAGGGTCCCGACTGTACCGATTTTGCTTCACATTCTGGGATGGGTCGCGACTGATTTGCTTGAAAATCGGTCGCGATCCGTCGGTGGCGGCCGAGCGGTCGCGATTGGTCGCGACCGATTTTGGAAGCAGGCGCGATCGGCCGCGACCGATCCGGAGTGCCGATCGGTCGCTACCGATCGCGACCGCAAAACTCTGGTACCCAATGATCTGGGCCCTGATTTTTGTTACGCCGCCGCCGCGTCGACACGCTCGCCATCGCTCGGACGTCCATTCTCTGCGCATGTTTCGGCTTCGTGCGTGCTTCATTGCGAAACATGATCCGAGATGCTCCTCGACGGTCCTCGCCGAGAGAACATGCACACGCCCGAGCGATGTCAAGCGACCTGGGCCCTCATTTTTTTTTTTCACGCCGCCGCCGCGTCGGCACGACGCGAACCTGCTGCACACGCACCCCTCTCGGCGATCTGTACCGACCTGTGTCAATCCAAACCCGGGTCAGTGAAGGGGCCCCAGGACACACAAATAAATATACACAAATAAAAATGTGCCCCATATTTTCACATATTTTCTGGGTTTTTGTCTTCCAACCCACTTCCCATATTTTCCCATATTTTCCTGGGAATCGACGATTAATTGTGTCTGTGTGTTTCTTTTCCTCCTGAGTCAGTCAGGCCTTGCGGGCCCCTGCAAGATCCTGCGGCATCCTGCAGGCTCCTGCGCTCAATAGCCCGGGTCACTGCACCCCTGGCCCTGACAGATCCTGCAGGACCCGGCGCTCTGACGGACCCCCGTCTTCACTGACCTAAAACGACGCGAAGATCGGGACAACATCGGATCGGGACAACTCGAAATCTCTGGGAATCGCCGGGCTTGGAGGATGCATTGGGCGCCGCGGCCGCTCCAGAGCGTTCCGGAACGCTCTGAGAGCGCTCCGGAACGCTCTGGAGCGATTTCTCCCGATCCTAGCCCTGTTTTCGGGCCAGTTCGGGGGCTGCGGCCAAGGTGGCCCCCGCGGCCTTCAGGCTCCCACTGGCTTGGCGCTCGGTCCTGCAGCCCCTGGGAGCCCTCTGGGCCTCGTGGGGGGTGCTCTGGAGGCCCCTGGGGGGCCTCCCTGGGAATCCTGGGGCGATGCTAGCCCTGTTTTATGACCCTCGTCTCCTGAGCCCCGCGGGGGCCGGGCCAGAGGACTGCCGGCCAGTCGAGCAGGCAGCACGCGGGGGCCCTGAGCGCGCGGCGCGGCGCGGCGGAGCGCGCAGGCAGTGCGCGGGGTCCGCTTTGGGGGCGTGCGCAGGTCGCTCGTCGGGCGGGCCTCGCGGCTTTGCTCCGCGAGGCTGTGCTCGCACGCCCCCCCCCCCCCCCCCCGAGGCCTCCTCTCTCCTGCCCCTCCCTCCTCCCCTTCCTTCTCCCCTGCCTCGTTCCCTGCCCTCTCCCTCTCTCTCCCTCCCTCTCTCCCTCTCTCCCTCTCTCTCCCTCTCTCTCTCTCTCGCAGGGAACGACGAAGCAGGGGAGAAGAAAGGAGGGAGGAGGGGAGGAGGGAGTGGCAGGAGAGAGGAGGCCCCGGGGGAGGGGGGGGGGGGGGCGTGCGAGCACAGCCTCGCGGAGCAAACCCGCGAGGCCCCGCCCGACGAGCGACCCGCGCACGCCCCCAAACCGGACCCCGCACGGTGCGCACTCCGCCGCGCCGCGGCCGCGCGGGGGCTGCCGCGAGCCCGCGGCAGAGGGGGGCGGCCGCGGAGAGCGGCGCCGACGCCCCTGCTCCCCCCCCCCCCCGGCGCGCGCAAGAGCGGGGCCGCCGCCGAGGCGAGAGAGGTGCGACGGCGGCGCCGCCGCAGGAGCGTCGAGCCCGCGGGTCCCCCCGAGATCCTGGCGAGCGTTCTCTTTCTTGGCGGTTCGACATTGGGCGGCAGGGGGAGGGGAGGAGGTGTCGAACTGTGAGCACCGGTTTGATGGTATACACACCGGTGGAATGGAGTTGTCCCGGTCAAGCTGGTTCATTCTCTGGCTCCTTTCTATATAAAAAGCAAAAATAACACACCAAAAACAACAAAAACACAACCAAAAAAACGCAGGGGAAATCTTACTCGTCGCAGAGAGGCATCGCTCAGGCCTCTTGAAGGCTTCTCAGAGGCCTCTGAGGAGCCTCTGGGAGGCCTGCCTCTAAGAGGCTTCTCAGAGGCCGCTTACCTCTTAGTAGCCTCAGCTAAGCTTCTAAGCGGT